TCCATCTCTGTACACTGGCCATATTACAATGTGACTTTTCCCTTATTCTTCTCTAGAGATGAGGTCTCTTTCTTTATCCCCTTGAATCTATGATGGCCTCATGACTGACTTTGGTCAGTGGAATATGGCAGAAGTGATATTAGGCCAGTTCCCGAGCCCAGATGTCAAGAGACCTTTCAGCTTCTATCTTTGTCCTCTTGGGATGCTGCCCTGAGATTGCCATCTGAGGAAGCTAGTCTCAACTATTGGAGGATGAAGTGCTATGTAGAGGGAACTAAGACAGCCCAGCCAATGGCCTGCACCAACTGCCGTGTATATGAGTTGGGCCATCTTGGACCTTCCACCCCTGTTGACCCTCCAGATGAATGCAGCTCAGTGAGTGAAGCCAGGAGAGGAACCAACTGACACATAGAATTGTGAGAAATAACAGGTGGTTGTTGCTTTAAGCCACTAAAGGGGATAGTTTGTGATGCAGCAATAAACAACTGAAACAGAAGTTCCCTTTCCTTTGCTTCTGGCCTTGCCAGCTCTGAAGCCATGTTTGCTGAGGTGAGGTTGTAGACGCATCTTTCACACTTCATTACTTGCTGGCACATCTTTGTCTTCACTCCATTCTATGGGGATGAAAGTTCCAGTCTAAAGGGGGTTCCACCAGTTTTTTTCAGACAGTAATCTTGGTCTTTTTTTGTAATTTTGAGTTTTGTTCCACAATTTTCTACCACTCTGTCCAGAATCTCTAGTTGTGATCCTTTTCAGACTGGTTGGCTGTGGTAGCTGGGCACCATCTAGTTCTTGTCCTCAGGGTCATGGAGGCTGGGTGATATGGCCATTTTGAAAAATACCATCTGCCCCAGGCTTCTTGCCCCATCCTTGGAGAATCAATTCAGCAAGTCTGGAGTGGAGCCATGGGATGTCTCTTTTGATCTGTTCTTGTGTGATTCTGATGTACATCTGCCCTGGAAGCAGCTGGCCTAGCCTATCGTCCTCTCCAGTCTTGGTCATCTGTACAATTTCTATGGCTTCTGGACCTCTACTTGGAGATGTTGGGGGAGAGATCCGCTGCTGGCTTGTGTGAGAATGTGACCAGAGGAACTTCTGGAGGGCAAGCAGCCTCATCAAAGTTATGAAAACTTCTTAACCATAACCAAACACCTCAGATAAAGCTCAGAAGGCAGGAAGGAATAGGAAAGAAGGATGAATGGAAATGGTAAACACAGGGAAGAAGTGGGAAGAGGGCTGCTTTATTGTGGGGATTGCAATCAATGTCACCAAACAAAATGTGTATGAATTGTTGAATGGAAAACCAATTTTATCTGTAAACTTTCACCCAAATCACAATACAAAGTTTAAAAAAAAAAAAAAAAAAGAAGAAGAAGGCAGCCTTAGGCCAGCAAGTGAGACCTGAGGAGCAGGAGGCCTGGTGTTTGTTTGAGAGAGGGGCTGTTGCTGATCTGCTTTGTTAATGGGCCCTTTTTGACAGCTGAGGTGTCTGTGTAGTACTTTTCCCCTTCTAACCCTGTGTGGTGGAAGGAAGACTGGGTGATCTATTTCCGTAAAGATTTACCACCTCGGAAACCCAAAGGGGGTTGCTGTGAGTCAGAATTGGCTTGATGGCAGTGACTTTGGTTTGGTTTTCTGAAACCCTGTGTGCTTCTTTCTTCAGCCTTTCTAGTTTGTGGATGGCAATGTCTCCAGGCTGCTAATGGTGGTAGGTGGGCAGGTGTTTATGGCCCTTGGTGGTGAGAGTTTGAAACGCCCTGCCCCCACCCTCGCCCAGGTCTCTAGCTCATTGCCATTTGGTGACTTCCCCTCACAGCTGTTTTTTTTTTTTTTTTTTGTTAGGATTTGGGTGAAGATTTACAGAGTAAATTCACTTTTCATACAGCAGTTCACATATACTTTGTCTCATGTCATTGACCAAAATTTACAATGCAGCAGCTCCCCTCCCACTTCCTCCCCATAGTTACCTCCTCCCAGTGTCCATCCCTTCATACTCTTCGAGAGGCCCATTGTCTGCCAACCCTGTATATGATCTTGGATACACTCTCCATTTAGACATACATAATTGTTTAGCTTGTTCACCCATCTATCCGTCCCTATACCCATGTTTGCTTTCATTAACAACTCAGTATTGTATTTACAAAGGGGTTCATATTTGTTGTTTGTACTGCCCATGTAACTCTCTCTGTCTTTCTCATCCTCAATGCTGCCATATTGGTCACTCACATTTGGTACATTGCCCTTCCCTTCACCCAAATCAATATTTATCTCTATCTATCTAACAGCATTCCCTCCCCTTCCCTCCCACCCCTGGTAACCAACAAAGAAAATGTCCTCCAATATATAAACATTTCCTTAACTTTTACAATAACGGACTAATACAATATTTGTCCTTTTGTGACTGACTTATTTCGCTCAGCATAATGTCCTCCAAGTTCATCCACGTTATGCGGTGTTTTGCAGATTCTACATTATTCTTTAGCGTTGCATAGTATTCCATTGTGTGAATGTACCAAAGTTTGGTTATCCATTCCTCAGTTGTTGGACATCTAGGTTGTTTCCAAGTTTTGGCTATTGTAAATAGTGCTGCGATGAACATCGGCGTGCATATATCTGTTCTTGTTATGTCACAGCTGTTCTTGAGGCTCAGTTTTTCAGGCTTATTGAACCTGAGGGGTGTTGGGGGCCTCAGTCAGCAGGCAGTACCCTGGGTGATCGAGGGACACATGCATTGGGAAGCAGGGGACCTGAGTTCCAGTCCCAGCTCTGCCATGATTTTGCTTTTTCATCTTAGCTCAAGGCCTCGGTTTTTTCAATGGTGTGTTTGAAACTTCTGTTTCCATTTTCCTGAACAAGTTGACTGCCCCAGGGACCATAATATGCCTTCCCATGCCATAGTCTAAGCACCTTGCCTGCCATTCCCTGTTGGTACCCCCCAACACACTCCAACCTCATCATCCCTTCCCTGAATTTACCATGCTCTTTCACCCCCTGGGCCTTTGCATATGTTATTAGCATAGTGCCTAAGACACCTGACTGCTAACCAGAAGGCTGGTGGTTCAAACCCACCAGCCACTCCTCGGAAAGAAGGTTGGGCAATCTACTTCCGTAGTGATACTGCCTTGGCAACCCAAGGAGGGGTTGTTATGAGTCCGGGCCGACTCGATGGCACATAACAACAACAACAACAACAACAACAACAACAACATTCTCTCTGCCTGCAATTCCTGCTCCCGTTTTCACTGTCTGGTAAACCGCAAGCCTGGCTTTGTCATCTTCTACCTGCAGTTTGCCTGACTCCGCTGGACAGTTACATCTGAGGTGTGTCCCCCACCCCTAGCTCCTTTAGTGCTCTATAGCCTTCTATGTCTGCTCTTCTGGACTGTGAGGCCCAGGTCAGCTTTCTCAGCTCTGCATTTTCCCAGAAGGAGGTCCAGCCTTGGGGTCAGACAGGTCTGATTTCAACCCAGTGCAGCCTTGACCAGATCCCCTCCCTTCTCTCAGCTTCAGCTTACTCATTTCTAAATCGGGCCTCATGATCCCTAAATACAGAATTATCAAAGATATTTTAAGGACATTAGTGACTGAAGCAGAAAGTCTATACAAGAGAGGTTTGGGGTGGAAACGAGCTTGCACAGTCTGTTACCTAATCTGAAAAGCCAGTTGCCTTCATCAAAGAATAGGAGGGGGAGCAGATGGAGATATGGGGAGGAACAAGCACACACATATGCACACCCTTAAGGTAGGGAAGAGTGTGACGCATAATGTTGTTGTTGTTGTTATGTGCCAATGAGTCGGACCCAACTCATAGCCACCCCTCCTTGGGTTTCCAAGGCAGTCATCACTATGGATGTAGATTGCCCAACCTTCTTTCCCAGGAGTGCCTGGTGGGTTTGAACCGTCAGCCTTCTGGTTAGCAGTCAAGTACCTTAGGCAGCATAATAGGCACTTACATTCAGAGCAGAAATTCCTTAAAATCTGATTAATCGAATTAATGAATAAATATAGGCAACTGGTTCCCGAATTTGGCCACACCCATTTGACAGAACCTCTTCTGAGCATCTGGTCTGCGATCATTCCCTCAGCCTCTGGGGAAGCCTTGCCCCAGGGAACTCCGACCCTTGCAGCCCAGCCCCCACTCCCCCGCCCCCCTCCGCTCTCCCGCTCGCAAACAGCGCCCAGTTTCCTAGCAACCGTCAAACAGAGCTTGGCAGCCAGGTCCTGCGGGACTGCTTCCACTGTGGGCCAACCGTTCTTGGAAACTCTCCAGGAAAGCTGTTAAACGGGTGTGAGGAGCTGAGGGTGCATTCTGAGTCTGGGTCTGCCACCCAGCACATCCGCTGGCAGGTACAACGGGGCCTTGGGGGTGGTTGGAACCCAGATCCTGGCCACCTTGGTCGCCTCAGCCGGAACTTCCCTTTCTTTTTGATACCGCACACAACAGGATCTCCTTTCTGAGTATTAGCCTGGGTTTTTGCTTCTTGAGCTCAGCACATTGGCCCTTGGTGCCTTGCTGCAGGAGTCTCACCCTTCTTGGCCTCACTAGACTCTTCCACGTGCTGTCCCTTTCCCCTAGCTTCTCTTTCCCCAAATGGCAAACCAAAATGGTGCCTTGGCACAGTTCCCAGGCATCCTGGGATGGAAGCTCAGGAGAGTGACCACCCATGGCTGTGGTTCCCAGGGGACTGTGCTCATGTGAGGCACACATTCCTTATGCACCAAGCACTTATCATCTGGGATGGGAGAAGACAGAGATTCTGGCTGGAGAAACAGATTGCTCAGTGTTATGATCCCTGGAGTTTCTTCATCTAATCATTCTCTAAATTTATGGAGTACCAACTATGTGCCAGCACCATGCCAAGGCTAAACAGCACAGGGAAGGAAGGGAGAAGGGAAAAATCCCTGTAAAGGCAGTACTAACACCTGGGAGCAGAGGATGGTGACAGCATGTGGCATTCTTTTCTCCCAGACAGTACTGGCCCAGCAGGGCGCCCTGTGGTATGTCACTGCAAACCTGGGAGTGGGAGGATGATGATCAGTTGAGCACGGAGCCCATCTCTTCCATCAATGACTTCTTCCAAACCGCAAGTGAGCGTGACGTGGAGGAATACCTCAAGGCCAAGGCCAGGGCCCAGGAGACAGATACGGACCACCAGTCCAGCAGCCTCAAGTCCTCAAATGAGTGTTCTAGCACCTTCAATTCTGACGTGCCACAAGTAGTTTCCTGCAAGTTTATCATCTCACTGGCCTTCCCAGCCAATGCAGGTAGGTGCTAGGGCAGAATTCCAGCACCCTTTGCAGAAAGAGAATATACCTTCTCCCAGGAGTTTAGGACACATATGTTCCTTGTCCTCCTCTATCCCCTGGGGAGAGGAGTGGCAGATGCCAGGAGCCCAAAGGCCAGAAAAGAAGTAGGTGTTTGTCCTTGTTTTTTTTTTTTTTTTTACAGAAGAACCCACAGTGAGGTTAGGCATTAGTTTCCATAACAGATTGTGTATCATCTAAATTGCTTGTTTAAAATACTGATCCTCAGGTCTACTGAAGCTGAATATAAAGATGTTTCAATTAGCCATTGCCACAAAAATGCTGTTTAACAAACTCAAAAAGTTCCCCAATTCTTGGGGGACTTTAAAGAGCAATCCTTTATCCTCAATGTCAAACACTCTGGGCTGTGCTCAAAAAGCTGTACTTGGCTTCATGTATCTCTCCTCCTCCCCGTGGGCAAGTGGGCTAGCCCAGACACACTCTTGTTATGGAATGGCAAATACATACACAAAAGAGGGCAAGCCCAGCTACCCAAGCACTCTTCAAGTCTTTGGGTACATCCCAACTGCTAACATTTTATTGGCAAAGCTAGTCACATGATCACACCTCAAGCCAAGGTACAGAACAGTGAAAAGCACTATAGCTCTTTTTGTTTTAATAATCTATTATTTTTGTTGTTGAAAGTATACACAGCAAAGTAAACACAAATGCCACAATTTCTACACATAATTCAGTGACATCAATTACATTCTTTAAGTTGTTCAATATTTTCATCCTCCTTTTCCAGATTGTTTGTCCCCCATGAACATAAACTTACTGCCCCCTAAGCTTCCTATCTAACCTTCCAGTTGCTATTGTCAATTTGATCCCATAGAGATAGTTCTTTAAAAGAAAACAATGCTCAAGGCACACATTCTTTACCAATTAAACTACTTTTTGGTTTAAATAAGACCTCAGGGAATATTTTTTTATTAAGATTGAGAGATTATCTCAGGGCAATAGTTTCTGAGGTTTCTCTAGTCTCAGTGGCTCCAGAAAGTCTGGATTCCATGAGAATTAGAATTCTTTGCCCTTTGGATCAAGATCCTTCTGTGGGATCTTTGATCAGAATGTTCACCATGTGGTGGGCATGCACCATACATTTCTTCTGGTCTCATGGCAAAGGAGGCAGTTATACATGGAGGCTATTAGCTACACCTTCCAGTTCCTTCTCCTAGTCCCGATTCTCTTTCTTTTTCTGTTGCTCCAGGTGAGTAGAGACAAATTATTGTACCTTGGATGGCTGTTTGCAAGCTTGTAAGACTCCAGACATTACGCAACAAACTAGGAGGTAGATTAGAAGCACCAAACATCATATTTGGCCAATTAACTGGGATGTCCCATGAAATCATGACCCTAAACCTCCAAACCAAGGAATCAAATCCCATGAGATGTTTAGTTGTATACAGCAACCTTAGCACCTGCTCTTTTTATTTTTTTTGTCTGCTTGCACTCTTCCACAATGATGATTTGAATGAGGTGTCTCATTATGGTTCTGTTGATTGTTGCCTCAGATATTTTGCAGGCTATTTGATTAGGTTACACCTGTTTAGATTTGCTGTATCTTCTTGGTGACTTGAACTTTTCATCATTATATAGTGATCTCTTCTATCAATAATGATATTTCATTGATAAAATGATAAATAATTGATATTTTTATTGATAAAAAAACTAAATAATAAAAATTTTCTTAGGTCTATTCATATCAAGAAAAATAACCTGAACAAAGACATCTGGCAAGTATCAACCAAAACAAAATTGGTGTTTATGTGGTCACATTCCCTTCTATCTCTTGCAGCATCTCCTAGGCTTTTTTTTTTTTTTTTTGGTATTTTCTCCAAAGGCTTTTTCAAAATACATCTTGCATGGCAAAAGTTTAGGAAGCCTTGGATACCTGAGAATATTTTTATCATGCCAAGACCTTTGAATGACAGGTTGGCTGTATTTTGGCTCTCTAGTGTTGCTATGGTAGCTCTGGTGGTGTAGTGACTAAGGCACTTGACTGCTAACCAGAAGGCTGCCAGTTCAAACCCAAGCCACTCCTCAGAAGGAAGGTTGGGCAATCTACTTCCATAGTGATACTGCCTTGGAAACCCAAGGAGGGGTCGCTGTGAGTTGGATCCGACTCGCTATAACAGAAATACCACAGATGGGTGGCTTGAACAAACAGGGATTTATCTCTTACAGTTAGGACTAGACGTCTGAGTTCAAACTCTAGGATCTGGGTGAAGGCCCCTTGACATTGGGCTTCAGCTCTGCATCTTGCTTCTGGCCTACTTCTCTTAACTCAGGCAGCTGCTTGTTGCTAAGGCTGACAAACTCAAGGTCGACAAGTAAAATGTCATGGTCCCAAAATTATTAAGCAATACAGCAGTCCACTAGTTCAAATCCAGAATTAGTCCCAAGATCATCAGGCAATGTGGCAGGCTGCTGAATAAAGACTTGGCTACATGCCGGGCCCAAGCACGCCAAAAAGCTCAAGACCTTTCTCAGAGCTTTTTCTTATATACTGGAAGAAGACTGCATCCCTAAGGCAGCTACTCAGCTGCTCATAGTAGATTCCACCATGGAGTTGATTACCAGTCTTATCATGAGGAATAACTACATCCAGCTGCCAAGCCACTCAAAACCAGGCCCAGCCAAGTTGACATACAACATTAACTACCACAAACTGGATAAAAAATTCTGAGTTAAATATTTTTCTTCTTCAATACTTGAGTATTTATGAATATGTGTATAAATGTTTATTTCTTCTATAAATTATTTATTTAAAAGAAGATCCTATATGTTCTCTTCCGCAACTTGCTTTTTAAAAAAACAAACTTGTTTTTGTGTTTGATGATACATCTTAGAAGATATGAACATATATTTTCCACTTTGTTATTGTTTTATTTTTGACACCTAGATAGTATTCTATTGTATGACTCTACACTATCTTGCATTTAAGTTGTTTCCAAATTTCTCTGTTAAAATTTTTCAATGGAAATCCTTATACATACAGTTTTGTGCATATGTGTGGAGCCCTTCTATAGGCTGAATTTCAAGATGTACAATAGCTAAGTTTAAGATATACATTTAAAATTTTTGGATAGGTATTATCAAATTGCCCTCCAAAAGAATGACAACAATTTGCTCTCCCATCAACAGAAAATGAAAAGAGTCTCTTTTTCCAGTTGCTGGGCCACCATGGATTGAAGCAGAACACAGACCAGTGAAAAGCTGCAAACTATCTAGTCAACTTTACCATTTTCAGGAAGTTTTGATGCCTGCCCCAAACTGGCAGGAGTAGCTTTACTCAAAATTCTGTGCAAAAACTAATTATTCTCATAGCACAAAATTAATGCAGTAGCAGCCTTCTGTGTATTAAAACTTTTGATGTAGTGCCAAGTGCTAACTAGAAGGCTGGCAGTTCAAACCCATCAGCCACTCCTCAGAAGATAGATTAGGCAATCTACTTCCATAGTGATACTGCCTTGGAAACCCAAGGAGGGGTCACTATGAGTCGGAGAGAACTTGAAAGCAGTGAGTTGTGTTTTTTTTTTTTTTTTTTTCTGGTATGACTTTAAAGATAGTCATATTTTTATAGAATGAAATTTGGGTTAAATATTTACAGAGCCCTTGAAACATCTCCTTGTGGTGTGAAAAGCCCTATCCTAGAGGGTACAGTTTAAGCTTAAGGGTAGACTAAGGAGGCTCTGTGGGCCCTGGCCTCACCTTCTGCATCCTGTGCCCCAGCCACCCTACATTGTGTGGCTTCTTCATTGAGGTTTGTGCTAGGCTGTTCCCTCTGCCTGGGATGCCTTCTCTAGTCTGTCTGCCAGCTTCACTCCTACAAGACTGCTGAGGTCCCCCTGGGAGGTCTCACCTCTCTGTCCACAGGAGAGTTCATTCCTGTTGTACTTCAGAACCCTATTCACACTGCTGTTATGACACAAATCACATTATACTATGATTACTTTTTTACCTGCTCCTTACTCAAGACTAGGACTCACTCAGAGAGTCATTTACTTAAAGTTTGCATCCTAGTTGCCTCACTTGCCTTGCTCTAGTCTAGGCCCTGCTACTCTGCTGGCTAGGAAGAGGACTAAACCTTTCTATTATGTCTCAGGTCCAGTGAGCACCATGGGGGTATGCAGCCTCTCCCAGCATAAGACTTTCTTGGTTCCAAGAAATTGTAGAGAAGGATCTGCTTTTCCATGTGAGGTTAAAACAAGTTTCATTTCATCTATATGTTTTAGGTAATAAAGGAAAACATCCAACTGTGATTGAAAAATATAGAAAACAGCCTAAAACAGAAAAACCTACTGCAAAGGTTCGCCGATTCTACCACATCGAGTACTATCTTCTGCCTGATGATGAAGATCCTAAAAAAGTTGACATGGTACTATTTCCAGCTGTGACTAAAGTATTCTCAGAGTCAGGTGTGAAGGTGAGTGAGGGGGCAGAGGCATTCATGTATGCATTTATGTTTAACTTTGCATATAAATGAATACTAACTACTTAAAGTATGGTCTGTGGGCCAGCAACATAGGGCCACCTGGGAGCTTGTTAGAAATGCAGCCTCAGAATCTCAGCTGGGCCCTGCTGAATGACTGTGCGTTGACCTAATGCCAATTTTCAGGACTTTTCATTTAGATACTTTTTTTTTTTTTCCTTTTGTGACTGATTTATTTCACTCAGCATAATGTCCTCCAAGTTCATCCACGTTATGCGGTGTTTTGCAGATTCTACATTATTCTTTAGCGTTGCATAGTATTCCATTGTG